TAATCTATTTATTTTGTGCGTATTTTATTGTTGAATATATAATATGAAAAATTCAATTTTTAATTTATGTTTGTGTCAATTTTAATACAAGGAGACAATTTTATTTTCATGAGGTTTTAGGATTCACCTATAAATTTGGGTTTTCATAAAGAATTTCTTTATCATAGTCTTTTTATTTTTATTTTTTTGTGAGTCAATATAATATAATAAATTATTTTTTATTTCAATAAATAATTAATGAAAATATTTCTATTTTAAGTAGAAAAAAAATCATTAAAGCTATTGTTCTTTTAGTTAAACCCATAGGTGCCTCTTTGATTTTTTTTTTTTAAAGAGTTTGAGTATGTGTTTAAAAAAGAAAAAAAAACAAATTCGGGTTTCGATGGAAACCGAATTTGAAAAAAAAAACCGAACCGAACTCGAAATAATTTCGATTTTCGATTTCAGTTTTTTTTTTTAAATTAAAAAAAAAACGAATCGAAATTGTTAATTCGGTTCGATTCGATTCGGTTTTAACCGAATAGTGAACACCCCTAGGTGGATGTACATAAAAAGAAAATACTTTTTAAGAAAATAAGAAGGAGTTCAAATATATATATATATATATATATATATATATGAAGGCAAAGACTTTTGTTAAGAGTATTTTTTAACTTGTTTATTGACGTGGGTCTCACTTACATGTCAGTATATAATGATTGTAAAATGTTTTGTGCTTTTGAGAAGTATTAGTCATTTTTCAAAATTTAAATGATGCCTTCAATTCGACTAGAACTATCAATTCATCATATTTTGATTTGAATTCAATCCGATTATGATGTAAATGAATTTAATATACAATTTTTGTAATTTGAATTAATTGATTTATTTATTAAATGGATCAAATAAAGATGTATCTCGATCAAATCTAATTATAATCTAATTTAAAAATTAAAATTAATATAATTTCTAATAAATATAATATTTTAAAAAGATAAAAAAATTTCAATATAAGAAATATGAAAAAATATGACACTAGGTTTAGATTTAGGGTTTATTTACTCTAGATACTAAAAAACATTATATACTTTTTTTTTTTCTATAGTAAGGCCTATTCTTTCAAACAATTATATGATAAGTATTTTTCATTATTTTTCAAATCTCAAATTAATTTTTTTGAAAAATCCTATAAATGTATAAGAAAAAGATTAAATTAATATGTTGTTACTAGTATTATACTTATGTTTCTATTTTATAAAGTCTTGATTCAAAATGTGAATTTTTTGTTCATTTTAAACTTATTATTTGAAAAATACTATAATTTTATTTAATTCTAATCAAGTTATGCCTAGAGTAGGAATTTTTATTATTTTTTTAACTTTATCATACTTGCCAAATTTAAATTAATTTTAATATAATTTTTTATCAAATTTTTTTGATTTTGTTCTTTTTAATGGTGAGATATTTGAATTGTTTAATTGACATATTAAATATTATCATTTTTTTTATACATGCAATAGTTAAAACTCATTTTATATTAAAGCATGATTTTGAATGTAGCTAACACCTTTGTTTGAAAAAATTGAATAATAAATTCAATAGATATTCAAATCTAAACTACATCCGTTAAGATTTAGATTAACAATTACAAAACCCAAATCCAAATTCATAAGATGCAATTCAATCAATTTATAAAATAAATCGGATCTAGATCTATTATGATCCAATATGCATCCGACTAGCTTACCATCCTAAGTTTGATTGTAAGTTCTTTTATGTTGATAAACTTTTTCAAAAGTCACCCAACATGTTTTTAAGTTTAAATTAACTCCTAATAAAATGCCAATATATTAAAATTAAGTTGGACTCATATTTATTTTTTGTTCAAAATTTAATTCAATTTTTTTTATAAATCACATTTTATGAGAAAATAATCAAACCAAACACACACAATAATTAATAGTACAAAATAAATAAATCACCGGAGCATAACTACAAAAGCATTATCATTTTGTTCTTTTTAATGGTGAGATATTTAGATTTTTTTAATTGACGTATTAAATATTATCATTTTTTTTATACATGCAATAGTAAAACTCATTTTACATTAAAGCATGATTTTGAATGTAGCCAACACTTTTGTTTGAAAAAATTGAATAATAAATTCAATAGATATTCAAATCTAAACTACATCCGTTAAGATTTGGATCGACAATTACAAAACCCAAATCCAAATTCATAAGATGCAATTCAATCAATTTATAAAATAAATCGATTTTAGATCTACTATGATCCAATATGCATCCGACTAGCTCACCATCCTAAGTTTGATTGCAATTTCTTTTATGGATAAACTTTTTCAAAAGTCACCAAACATGTTTTTAAGTTTAAATTAACTCCTAATAAAATGCCAATATATTAAAATTAAGTTGGACTCATATTTTTTTTTTCAAAATTTAATTCAATTTTTTTTTATAAATCACATTTTATGAGAAAATAATCAAACCAAACACACACAATAATTAATAGTACAAAATAAATAACTTACATGAGCATGATTACAAAAACATCAAATCTACATGAAAAAACCTCTCTTTCGTAGAAAAAAACTCATAGGACAAGCTCCGACATAATCCACTATAATCTATAAATCAATATAATCTCTCTAATTTCTTTGTGAACTTAAAAAGAAAAATTTTGACAATAATACAAGTTTCCTTTTTAACTAAATTGTCTCATCACAAATGCTAAAAATCTACAAAATCTTCATATTTTTGTAAATTTCAATATTTTGTGAGATCACTACTTTAAGCATTGCAAAACTAGCATTCAAAAATCAATGTCAGAGAAAACTTCAATATTTAATGCATAAAAATTCTTTACTTTGTTTTTCCAATAGCAATAAAAAAAAAAAAACCCCTTTTCTTTTCTTTTATTGTTGCTCTCTCGCCAAAAACAATACACAAAAACGTTCATTCTATATATATATATATATATATATATATATATATATGTTGGCAAAACAAAATAAGACACAACAATTTCCTTTCTCTTTAATTCACCAACAAACTTAGCACACACAGACTCCTTTAGTCTTTCCTTTTATTATTTTTTTCCACTTCAATCATTTTCTTAGTTTATTTTTTCATGCGTTATGCTAAGGTTAATTATAGACTAGATTTATCGCATACACTCAATAATTTTTAGTATAATTAATGTGCCAAAAAATTGATAAATCCTTATTAATTAACTCAAAATGAATTTAAATTTTCATCAATACAATTTTTTCTCACAAAATTTCAATAATAAAAATTAAATTGTTACTTTAAAAAAATTATGTTATGCACATTAAAGAGGGTGCTTATCACTCTATGAAGTTTTCTATTTCTAAATTCAAGGTAAGAAGTTAATATTATGATTCTCTAATGTTTTATTACTTCATAAATTTTAAATAAAAATTTTCTCATAAATTAATGCGTAAAAAATTTAGGCAAATATTTTATTGATTTACTCAAAATCAATTTGAAATTTATGGAGATTCATTTCTCTCAAAATTTTCCAATAATGGTTTATTAAAATCCTCTCATAAAAATTTATGGTTCATTAAAATCATGTCAAAAGGATTATTTCTTTTTAATCTTGTCTTTAATTTTTATGAGTTGAAATATTTAGACAAAAGAGAGGAAGAATGAAGAAGGTATGCATAAAAAAGAATGCAATTAAGTGTGTGTTTGGTAATGTGGTGCATGTATTTTTTTAAAAAATACATTTAGATTTAAAAAATATAAATTGATAATTTTTCATATTTTTTTTATATGTTTTGGATAAAATATAAAAACTATTTCAAAAAAGTATTAAATTGATGTTTTTTCAGTTCAAATATACTTTAAAAAACATTTTTAAACATAATGCAAACGAATTATCGAGCACACCAAGCTTTGGTTAAAGCTTGAAATGCGGATTTCCAACTCTCTCTAGAAGAGGTCATTTTCTCTCTTATTTCATTTTGAAATTTCTTTAATTGAGTTGGATTTCGACTCGCCTTGAGAAAGCCATGAAGAAATGACTGAGGCGAAGATTGTTGTTCGTACCACATGAATTTCGATGATTGGGGTTGCTATGATATAGTTTGCCCTCTCGGTTTGTACAGGGCCGGTCGTTTTCTTCTCTCCGAATGACAGGCCAGTCCAATTAGGGCCCCATATGCTGTTTTGTGGACATTTAGGATGTGTTCGAGGCCCATATTGTGACCGTAGGGCTGTTTAAACCGAAAGAAGATAATGGTCCATTTTTTCGGCCTTCATAGTTGGGCTTGCATATCATATGAGTTTAGTTCGATGTGAGAGTTGGTTAAAATGTGGCCCATGTAATTTAACTAAATTAACGGATCAGTCCCCAGGGTTTCAAAAAGTTCTATTTTATCCCTCTATTCATAAATCTGTTTATAATTTAATCCTTTCGTCAACTCCATTTTCTTTTCCAATTTATTTATTTATTTTTATTATTTTTGAAAAAATAAGCAGCAGTTGACATAAGGTAATTAGATTAAGAAAGAATGTATATTTTCAGAGCAAAAATTTACTAAAATGAAGATGTCAACATTTAAATTATTTTTACAAGAAAGCTAGTAGGAGAGTTTTCCTTTTTTCTCTATCGAAGTCCTCTAACATCAAAGCAAATATATATTTTTTAATTTCAAGTTATGCAGATGTATCATACTTCATACACATACATTTCAAATTTGATGTTTTAGATTTGGAAAAACAAGAAAGGAACACCTCATACAAGCACATCCTCCAAACAGGAACACTCAACAGTGTTACATGAATCATTAATGGGTTCTGGTAAAAAAGATAAGGTAATTGACATCCACGAGAATGTCTGCCGATTTTCCATGATAATGGGGACCCTCAAAGAGATTTTTCAGTGGCATGAATCATGATTCAAAGTAAACATAAAGATGAAGAAGATTAAAAGGAGATTAAATAATGTGGGGATAAAGACGGGGTCCTATTGTTGATATGTTCTTTTCTAGAGTGGTTGAAGCATTAACGAAAGTTCTACTTAATGTAGGTGGGACATTGATGGAGATGATTAGCATACCCGTGAAATGAAAAGGAGAGATATATCATATCCTTCTACAGGTTTTTAAAACACAATCTATAACCCATCACCTTTCTTTATCTTTATCCATTTCAATCTCTTAGCTTCTTCCAATTTTCAGTCTTCAGCAATCCTCATTCATTTGTAGGTATAATTAAAGGCTCTCTCGACAAGTTCATTGATAGAACTATCAAGTCTTGTTACCTTCTTATGTTTACATGATATTGGCTTAAGTCTCAGGTTGCAATGGAGAGGGCACAGATAGTCAATAAGGACATGAAGGTAGAGATTCCATCAGAGTCTGAGAGCATGTCGAACGGTGGCACGAAGTTTACATCTGGGCTTCAAAGACAGACAAGCGCTACAAAGAGCAATTGCTTATGCTCTCCAACCTCCCATGCTGGTTCTTTCCGGTGCAGGTTACACCGTGCCCCCAGCCTTCAACGAAACAAAAGCATTGAGTCTGCCTCTCTGCGAGACTCAGAAACTAAGATCAATACGACAGCTGATGATACTAGTAATGCAAAAACAATTGAGGCCCAGTAATTCACATGAACGTATCGAGTGTACTACTGTAAGTGTGCTAGCTGTTGCTACTGCAGTTGTTTGGTAGCATATATAATGGCCTTGAAGTTGTACATTTCCCACTGTCTTTGTTTCCTTTTCTTCTTGTATAAATAAAATGTTGCCTATTTCTGCATCTCTTTTGCGTCTCTACTTCAGATCAGGAAAAGAAAAAGGTTTTGCGGGTAACTGCATTTCTTTTTACACAAGGTGAACCTAAAAGCTGATCTGGCGAATTAACTTGTTAGGATTGTAAGAAGCAAGACATATCATCAGTCTCCAGGCTACACATCAATATTTTCTAGTAATTCTAATCAGATTAAAGAACCACTGTTGTTAACCAACATTAGCAATGCGGCCAGGCCAACACCAATCAATCCCACATTTTATCCTTGTTATATAATTTGAATACTAATCTTGAAATCTTGTAATCTCATAAGGGGTGAAGTGTAAACTCAAAACTAATAATTAATACGCATGTCTACATCTGATAAAGAGTATTAATAAGTAAAGCTTTCATCAAAAGACTCTAGACATAGATTATAGTGATTTACCTTTTGTCCTGTACATTGAAATTCTGTCTGCAAAATGGTGTGCTTGGGAAAAAGGAAAAGGAAAGAGAAAAGGTCGATGAAATGGTCCAAACATCTGGCATCATCAGCAGAGAATTGAAAAAAGAAACAAGACCTGGAAAGAAAAAAAAAGTAGTGCAACCGAAGCAATTTAATGACAAATACTAGCAAGCAGAAAATTAAAGAGAGACAGGGAATTTATAGTGGTTTGGCAACTTAAGGCCCACTCCACTGTCAAAAAATCTTCACTATTATTGATGGTAATTACACAAAGCAATAATAAACTTTCTAAGTCCCAAAAATCCAATACATCCAATTCTCCGATCTCCCTGTTTAAACAAGAGGAAAACGCTGCTGCTCTTAAGTCTCCAAATAGCTGCTGAAAACAAGAGCAAATGTGTCTATGCTTGGTGTGTCTCGCCTTCGTCTAGGATCTAACTAAAGGAAGAATCGTAGCAGCTACACCCTTGCTGTTTTGCTAACTTATGTATACATATATCTGTCTGTATGTCGGCAAAACAATCCTAGAACAAATAGGTTAATTAATGCCACCTTTCCTTTGGGACTTCACTGAGTGTAGTGTGTTGTACCATAGACTATGTACACACACTCTTCGACCACTTAATTCATGGCATATCACAAAAAAAAAAAAAAAAAAAAATGGAAGTTTCATTTCAGGTTCAAGCTTAGAAACCTGTAAATGCAGCATGGAGCTGGCCACACGGCGACTCAAGAAATCTCTACCTGTTGATAACCCTGAAAATTATTTGGCATGAAGACATCTGAGCTGCCAAGCAAGACGCCACGCCCATATATGGGCACTCATGCATGCACAACCCCGTAAATATTTGGTAGAGTACTACTGAATGCCGGTGAGAATGTACACAAGTATTGAAGCCCACGTACAGGGTAGTTTAAATGGCAAAAAGAGCATAAATTTCTAAAGTTTTAACCTCAAATTAAGATAAAAGTTTCGGTCTTGAAGTACAAGTATTACATTATAGACTTTGGTCCTCCCACCTAAAGTTTTTTTGGCATGTGAAATCTAGCAGGTATGAGGCTGTTTGTTTATTTGATCATGAATAGTTAGCAATGAATGATGGCGATCCCTAAGATCTTCATCGTCCGCATAATTGGAGATTGGAATGGGCAGACAGAATGAATAATTTTTCCGTTTACTTGTTTCAACTTCAAATGTCACCTTGAGCAATTAACAAGCAACATGGTCTGTTGAGAAAAAAAAAAACATGAAGTTAAAAAATAAATGAGTAAATAAAGTATGATGTAGGTCTGATGAGATGGAATGCAGAGTGATGATGTATGCAGTTGCTTGAAAACAGAAAGGTAATTGAGAAAAGCTATAATGACAATAATGGCAGCAATCATGATGACAACACCAATGCTCTTCTCTCTGACCTGCCATGAAAAGTTCTGCCTAATAACCCTTTTACAAGGTAGTGAGAAGTTTCATTTCCAGCATGCAGTTGCTGTCCACTAAAATGGTCCATAGCAGTACAATATCTACGTAGCCAATACTGATTCGTTAGATTACAAATCGAACAATACTTAACCATGCCTCAAACCACCAAAGAAAGCAGGAAACCTTTCACCGATTTCGATACTAGTAACCTCATTTGAGTAATTTTGTAGATAATAATAGCTCTAAATTGCTTGCTCGTATTAGGCTTAATGTATCTTGTAATTGGTCACTGATTTTTTCTTGACATTTTGTGTCCATCATGGGGAGGATTTGAAGTTTGACAAGTCATCTTTGGATAGTTAAAATTACGTTTGATTTTAGTTTTGTTTCTGTTGATCATATTCTATATATAGGTAAAGTTGCACTTGGATTTATGGGATTGTTTTAACACCAGTAATACCCTCTGATAGCGCCATTACATAACTGACAGCATTGCTTATATTTTAGTCACAAGAAAATTTTCCTGACCAACTTGATTCATACTAGCATGACTAATCCAATGGAATTCCAACAATAACTGATATTTATTAGCTAAAAAAACAAAAGAATAGGACTGAAATGCCAACACAGAAAAAACAATATAATGTCAGACAAAAATAAGGAAAATTTTTATTACAATTAATTAACAGGTGAGAATCCAGGGGATGAAAGGAAACAAAGGCAGTTGTTGCAGGTTTATAGACAAACTCAAAGAAAACTGGTCCCAGAATTGTTGTTCTACATATAATTAAGAGTTCTTATTTCTTCTAGTTTTCTCTCATGTCCTCAAAATTTTCTTTCTTATTATATCAGATTACATCACAATTAATGCACATTAGAATTCTTTTTTTTTTTTTTTCTTTCTCAGCTTCAAGCCTAAAAATTACAAGGCATATCAGAAGAACAAAAAAGAAAGACAGTGTATAAGTTACACTTTAAATTACCATCTGCTTCTGGAAGCAAACAAAAATTCACTCAATTCTTCTCACTGGAATTTCTATTGATGGACAACAACTTACTGAACATTCTTTTCGGTCTTGTAGGAAGGGCACAGAAAGCCTTAAACTTGGAAGTTCTCCCAAGTCCATCCGATTGCAGATCGCTTTCATCTAAATCATCTTCAGCCAATTTCATCCTTAGTGTTGAAATCTTAGATTTTGGCGATTTAAAGCCTGACACACTCCACTGGTCCTCTGCTTGAATGCTAGTAGTTGTGCTTAATGCAGCATTTGGTCTTGATGGATCAATGTTATGTGCAGCTAGTAGAGCTTTGATGTTGCTAGGCAGCTCAGTGACTTTTCCACCACCCATGGCTGCTCTAGCTTGCTCAAAGAAGAGAACTTGTACCACCACCCTCAGTGGGAGTAACTCATTCTGTGCGGCATGCATGCAGGCTTCGACCGATAGTTTCTTGCAGTCTAGGGGTCTGCACAATCTTTTTCTTTCACTCTTGTTTAGGTCTGGATGTGCCTGAATGTTTGTTCATGAAAATTGTTACCAAGTGCCCATCTTGTGTTGGTGATTAAACTTGGCTAATTCTATAATACGTTGAGCAATTGAGATAAGGCAGGAGGTCTAATTTTGTGGTTTTTTGCTAATTATCAAAAAAGAATCCCTTCATTAGTCTTGCACAATAAAGAAGATTGTTGATTTTTACCCGAGAATAACTGTCAAAACGTTAAGAAGAGATAATTTGTAGCTACAGCAAACATGAAAATAAAAAGCAACCGTAAATTTACTGTAATCGACTGCTGGCAACAGAGTCGTCAATTCCGAATTTGTCTTTTTTTAATTTCTTTTGCGTTACAATTCCACGCTGAAGTTGTCCGGTCAGAATAAACCTAACTGCCAATTAACTTGTGAGCTTGACATATCCTGAGGTCAAGAGAGTTGGTCATCTAACAGACAATGGGGACCTACACCCTAGAATGTGATGCTGAAATAAGCCTAGAAATTAAAGTGACAGCGAAATATGTCTTAATATTCAAAAACTATGAGAGTTATGGTTAATTTTGCAGACTAACATACTATCAATTTGTCATTTTACCTTGAGATAAATGTCAATGCCTCTGTAGAGATCATCATGATCAAGCCTTGAGAAATCTGGAATGGCCTCAGCAAGAGTAATGAATTTCGAAAGAGGCAAATTCACATCTCGGGCAATCTCTTGAAGATAGCCATCCACAAGCTTTGCCACCTTCAACTTTGAGCTATGTGATGCTGAAGAAGACCTCCTGCTCTCTTGAAACTCCAAATCAATATTCTCTGCTGACCGAGACCTCCTCCTTTCAAACCCCAGCTTGGATCTCGGAGGGCTAATGGGAGGACTCTGCCCTTGTAACATGAACTGCTCCAATATGGTGATCACCAAGTCTACATCATACACTGTATCATTTGCATATGAGATAGAGGGTATTAACAGATCCTTAACTGTTGCTTCCTCCAATTGAAGCGCCACTCTTCTGGCCAATTCCATCCTTGAAGATGAGGAGGCATTAAGAATATTGGCTGCTTTCAAAAGTTTGAGAAGGAAACTGCTTGATACAGAACCTTTCTCCGCTGGGAGTAAGCTTACTAGTGATTCTAGAAGCAGCCTATGCTTTGTATTTGTCTCACTGGCCGAGTCTGAATCCGAGTCAGATGCCTCTTGCTTATTAACATCTCTTTCTCTTGATATGTTAGGTAGCCATCGAGCTGCGTAAATTTTCAAGGCCTCTCCAATGAGATTTGATGGTATCTTTCCACCGGATTTAACTGCTATCATGGTTCTCCAATATAGGTCTATGCCTAATTCTGCCATATCTTCAGCCCACCACCCTCTGCTCGCTGGTTTAAGCCTCTGGCTCTCTGCTCCATTACAAGACACATCATCCCTTTCCCTTCTAGAGTAACTATGCGACAAACTCACCTTTGAGGGATGAGTTAAGACTTTGAAGGCAATCGCTTCAATGCACCTGCTTGTGATTCCAAGGTCTTCTGACCACAAAGGAAATGCTTTGGTGCTCTGTAGAGTGACAATAGAATCTTTCCACCCATGAAGTATGCAGGAATTGAAGAAAACTTCAAGTTTGTATATTAGGTTCCCCTTCTCAACATCCTCTGTCATCTGCAGGTATTCGGCAGCACATCTCACCGCAACAATGTTGTAGGCACTAAGAGTAACTGTAATACCATAACAGAACTTTGCGCAGAGTTCAAATGCCTCAACCCCACCAGGAAAATCAGGGAGCTGGACTATATGGTGTTGTGAGGATTCGGGAGATTCAGAACATAGTCTCTGTAGGCGCAAACACTTAGAAAGCAGAGGAAACTGCAAAAAAAAAGAGCATTAGGAGTGGTGAAATTATAATCCAGTTGAATTGGAGGAATAGATGCTATGATCAATATCTTTTATTCTAGAAAATTTATGGAACTTTACCTTGTGAAGCAAATATCTACTTCCTTTTACTTGAACTATAAGGTCACTAGAAACTTCAGAGGAGACAGACCTGCATTGCCAAATTAAATTACTGACATCTTTCCTTCAAAATATGTCATCTGACATTATCTACAGCCTGTTGAATGACCCATGAGTTTTTTACCTGACAGCCTCAGCAGTGTAGAACGTGTCCGGCCGGGATCCGAGTTTCATAAACTTCATGTCTAATCCTTTCGATTTTCTTCTTGATTATGTGTTCATCAAATTGCTTTTTCAATATAGTTGAATCAGATAGACCAATTGCTTCACCAACATAAGCTTCCCATTCTATGCATGAGAAGCCCCAAAAAGTTCCTTCTTCAACAGCAAGCCAAAAAAAAAAAAAAAAAAAAAAGCTCTCAGAATAAGGCAGAACTCAATAAGACAACCTGCTTCCTGTACAAAGTTTAACACTACTACTTAGCAAACCAACAATTTTTTCTTAATCCAAGCAGACCTTGACTCAATCAAAAACTTCAATTTTTATCTATTCAAGAACAAAGAGAGAGAAAGGAAAGAGAGAGAATTTTTTTGGAGGAGAATGGATATACTATAGAACAAGGGAATACGAAGAGCTTTTATTGTAGGGGTGATACCAATATCTGAGTTATATATATAGAATTACTTGCATAAATTGTCAATAGTGAAGAAAACCCAGAAGATCAAACACTCCAAAAGTCCAAGTCCTTTCAGTCAAATTCTATACCCCATGTGATTTTGACATTCAAACAAATAATCAAGGTGCTGCAATCTCGTCAGGATCAGATACACCTCAAACAAAAAGCAGAGTGCGAAAAAAAAAAAAAAAGTTACCGAACCTTTACCAGTTAAGAATGTACATTAGTATTACTTACTTCAACTAGAAGGAGCATACTACATATTAATAAAGCATGGTTGTAAGATATAAGATTGCAACCTGAAATCTAAGGTTCTTCTTGATATGCTCAAACAAGTATAAACTGCCAATCATTCGCAGCAAAGACAGACAGAACCTGAAATATGAAAATCTGTGAACTAAAGTACTGATGTTTTGTAACTAGAACAGGAATGGGGAGAGTTTAAGGCCTATTTTCCATGGACATGCCAGCGTGCAACGAGAAAAGGCGACGCCCACGTGCTTATCCTGCGCCCACTTGTGCCCCCCTATCTCATCATTGCCACAACAATTTATTTATTTTTTTATTTTTACAGTACCTCCTCTTTGATTATTTTAGTCAAACACTATTTTATACGCAACATCGTACACCTCTCAAATTCCATCATCAATACCCAGAAAGTTAAAAGGAATTGTATTCTTTTTTTTTTTTCATCGAGGGAATGACATTTTTGGTACTCAACTTTTGATTGTTTTTCTTAATGATTTGCTACATAAGTCTTAGTTATTTTTTGTTTATTTTGATGCTTGAATTAACTTGAAATTTAATTTACCAAAGTGTTCGACAAAAACTATCATATTATAAAAAAATATTATGGGATAGTCAACTCCAGACGTATTCAGCATTTTATATTCTAAAATGGTTGTGAGTATTCAAATAAAAAAATAAAAAATTAAGCATTGCAACAGAAAAAAATTAAAAATTAGGCATAAAAAATATAGTTTTTTCAAGAAATTTATTTTTTCGAGATTGCAAAATTAATCTAACAATTTTCACTTGATTGCATTACTAACAAATGGTGTGGGCACTCAAATAAAAAAATTGAGAATTGAAAAAAAAAATTGGGCACCAAAAATGCCATTTTTTCAAGAAATTTATTTTTTCGAGATCGTAAAATTAGTTCAACAATTTTCACTTGATTGCATTATTAAAAAAATATTTTTCATATTATGCTTGTGGTTTTTACTATTTATCAAAGATAATTTTTTTAGTACTTTGTATTTAAAAATTATTTTTAAAAAAATTCTAAATTCTTTTAATTGTCTAGATAAATTTAACATCATGTCATTTGGCTTAAAATATATAAAGTTCAATTAAAATTAAATCTAGAAAAATAAAATACATATAAGATTCATTATAATTGTTATTTTTAACAATTAGTTAGCCAATGGAGAAATTTATAAAGAATAAACATTGTTTTCTCTGTTTAGAGAGAAAATCGATCAACATATCATCGGTAATATAAGCTTTCTATGGCCAATAATTTGATGAACTTTTTATAATAAGTCGATATGGGATAAAATCCACATGAATAAATTTAGTGATCAAGTTTTTTTATTTGAGCGTTTAAGGTGTAATACTTTCGATAGCGATGATGATAATGATAAAGATAATAAGTAAAGTAAGAATTATACTAAGTGAATACATTATTAAAATTGCCCATTCAATTAACATAATAACAAGAAAATATGTAATGCTCGTAATTGTTGATGTTCTTGAAATTTAGAATTATATGATTTTCAATATTTGAAAAGAAATTTTGATATATATATATATATATATGAAAGCACAAAAAATGCATGAAATCTATTTATAATAATAATAATAATAAAAGATAGTTTAGAGGTCAAGAAGAAGAGAGATATTTGGTGTCGAGAAAATTAAAATAATTTTTTTGAGAAAACTATATTTTCGATGCCCAACCATTGATTTATTTTTTAATTTTGGTGTCAACCTTTATTTTTATTTTTATTTTTCTATTTTACTTGTCTAACTTTTGAATTTTTTTTTCTATTTGAGTACTCATAGCCATCTTAGAGTATGAAATAGTAATGTGTCTAGAGTTGTCGATTATGTAGTATTTTTTGAATACCATGTGGCGGCTCTCGTTAGATACATCGACAAAATTAAATCTCGAATAAATTCAAGCACGAAAACAAACAAAACATAAAACCTTGAATAGTAAATAATTAAAAATCAATGGTTGGACATGGAAATAGAAAAACAATCAAAAGTTAGGTACCAAAAATGTTATTCTCCTTGTTATATTATTAATAGTCTAAAACGAAGGCATTTTTACCGTGCCTTCTACTATTCATTTCACTCGTTCAATGAACAGTGCTTTTCGCCTTCCTTTTTCTCTCTCTTTTTTTTTTTTTTGAATCAGGCGACCTTTTGGGTTGAACCCAACAATTTTTTTCCTTGTATATATATTATTTGATTTTATCCTTATAATAAATATTTTTCTCTTGATTTTTAGTAAAAATTTATGTTTTTTTTTTCTATTTTGTGATATATTTTTTATTTTTTTCATTAGATTTTTATTATGTTTGATTTTTATCTTTACTATACTAAAACTAAATAAAGTTTACTATCCTAAACCTTTTTTGTACTACTCACTCCTTTTTTCTCTTTTTTTTTTTTTACCCTCACAACATACTATTCACTCTTAGGTGTTTTTTTCTTTTTAAATTTTCACTCTTAGTTTTTTTTCTTCTTTTCTTAGGTTTTTTTTTGTAATTTTCAAATTATTTCATTTTAATCCCCGAAATTTTCAAATAAAAATTTTAATCCCTAATCGATGCACTACATACCTTTTCTTTTCTTTTTTTCTTTGCTTTTTCCCATCAATTTATGTTCTTTTTTATTTAATTGGGTGTTAAAATTTTTGAAAATCAATCTTTACTTTTTTTCCATACAAACCGATGATTATATAAAAAATATATGAAAAATAAGAATTAATCTTCTCATCAACATTAAATAAGTTTTTCAATTCGATGAGATTACTTTCTACCGTAGTGTTGCGTTGATAATTTCAAGATTAATCTTCTCATCAACATTAAATAAGAATTTTTTTTCCATTTGTTAGTTTTTATAAAATTCTATCTATTAATTATAACTTTATTTTTTGGAATATAATATTATGAAAAATATATTTTAAAATTTTTTCAATTCCGATGAGAAGATTTTTTTTTCCATCCATAGAGAAGAATTACTTATGTTTTTTTACACAAAAGAATTTATAAAAAATATTAAAAAAATTAATTAAATAAGAAATTAAAATTAAATTTTTTTAAATTTTAAAATGAATTTGTTATATCGGACCTGCAGCGTAGCGCGTTAGTAAGAGCTAAAGAAAGAATGGGAAAAGAAAAGGTCAAAAAAAAAAAAAAAAGAGAAAAGAATATAATATGTTCATAGCCGTCAATGTTGGGTTTAACCATTTTCTCTCTCTCTCTTTTTTCAATAATAAGATTATGGTAGGGCTAGTTTATATAATAAAATTAGGTCATGAAATTTTAAATATATTTTGTAAAATTAATTATAGTTTACATGATAGATAATATTTAAAGTGTGTCTGATTAATTATAATATATGTAATTAATAATGATAAAAAGCTTTGGTTGATGTTATAAAAAAGAATTTGATCTTTTTTTTTTTAATGACAAATAACAAAACTAAAAGAAAACTGAAAACTATCATATCTTTCTATCATTCAGAAAAGAGGTTAAGAAATAAACATTTTTTATTAATTTTGTACTTCTTAATATTCTTCAAATGTCTAAATAAATTAAAAAAGTTAAGAGAGAAACTATTTTTTACTTGCCAGTATTCTTTAAATTTCTAAATGAATCAATATATGTTTTTTTTTTCAAATTATGCGAAAAATATAAAATTTTAAGATTTTTATATAATTAATAAATTTATGTTCTATTGTTCAGCATAATTATAATTTTAATCTCTCATGTCATTCACGCCCTATCCGATGCATTTATAAAAGAATATATATATATATATATATATATATATATATATATGTATGTATGTATATATAAGTACTGGAGAAAAGATAAAAAGCCCCTTATGTTTTTAATTTGAAAGATTTTGGTAGCATTTATTGCATGTGGTCCATGAAAAACATTTGTAAATCACATGGTGTGAAATGAAGAAACAAATCGTTTCACTTGTACTCATGCAGAGTTCTGTTAAACACGACGAGGCAAGGGAAGGCTTTTTTCCGTAATGAAATGCGAAAATGTTGTATTTTGGGCAGTTAAGGGTCATTTCAAACTAGTTTGGCATTGGATTCTTACTGGTTTCCATTTCCTTCTTTCTTTAATGTTTGAAGTTTGATTATTAGAAGCGCTGAGATTTATGGGAATATGGGCCATAGATGATTGATCTACAAACCTATGAATGATGATCAGCATATGATGTTAATAGCATGAAAGACTTCAACTCTTGCACTTTGCCAGTATAGAAGAAGTAGTACTATTGTTTATCTAAAGTTAACAACCCCACATAACT